GGAGGCAGAGGTTGCAGTGAGCCGAGATCTGGCCACTGCACTCCAGCCTGCCAACAGAGTGAGGCTGTCTAAAAAAACAAAAAACACAAAAAAATCCATCGAATCCAGCTAGACACAGATCTACACCTTTTACAAAGTTAACTCTAAGTGGGTCATCTAAAATGCAAAACTATAAAACTTCTAGAAGAAAATATAGATAGCCTTAGATAACTTTTTAGTTACAGCAAAAAGAATGATGTCTGAAATTTTTAAAATAAACTTTTAAAAAATACTTGCTTTGTGATAGACAGTGGTAAAAGAAAAGATGAGCCACAGAGAAAATACCTGCAAAACACACAAAAATTTAATTTCAAAGCATAATAGTGAAACTGAAAACTGAACACAGATGTTTATTCTTAAGAAAAACTAATAGAATTATCCAGGAAAAACAAAACTCACAATGTTACCAACTTGAAAGGTGATGTAACTATAGGTGTAAATAGATACTGAACATATATGAATCTATTAATTACCAAATTTGACAAAATCAACTATGTACCTGAACAGAGAAACAATATACAAATTCAAAACATCCAAAAATACCAATATAACTGCCTAAATGAGTCTATCCAGATGATTTTATGAATAAATTATGTCAGATATTTTTTGCTATTTATATGATCTGAAAGAAAATGATATGATGCTTTGCAATTAATTTTGATGAAGGTAAAATTTCTTGGTAACCAATCTCATTAGAGAAACGATTTTGTTTTTATTTTGTATTGTAATCCAGGTACTCAATAAATGCATGTATATTTATTAAAAGAATAAGTTCTAAAAAGATAAACTTCTTTACCCAAGGAATTAAGACTTATTAAAATTTTGTAATTTTAAGGTAAAAAATATATTTTTAAAATCTTGATATAACTTCATTATACAGATATATTAATATAAGATATAGTAATGGGACTGTAATATCCTGATGCATTACAATGAAAAATGTAATCCCTAAAGAGATGCTGTAAATGCTGAAAACACATTTGATTATATTAACTTACATATCTTATAAAAATTCTTGATATAAAAATAGTATATTATGCATTCTATCTCAAAGGAATAGTTGATGTTTATCTTAATAGTAACATGATACATTCCCAATGAAGTTAACAATAAAAATAGTGAACAAACATTGTGGTTTGACATTGATCTAGTTCTTGCTGGCTAGAACATTGTGATCAGACAGATTATACATATAATAAGTGGTATAAATTATCACATCTTTTTATTGAATGTGTGCCAAATATTTAATTCAGAGTTTGACATATAACATATGCATAATAAGTAATAGTTACTATTAGCAATAATGTTTATTTATACATTAAACATAAACTATAACATGATTAAAACCAATTAAGATAACTCAACAAGAGAAGAATTTTTTTAAATGATGCCCAGAGATGAAGTACTTATAAGAAAATTAGATGAAAATAGAATGGGGAAATTTTCCATTCATTATAGCAACAAAAATTAAAATGCTTAGTATAACAATAATTGTACAGGATCTTTTTAGAAATGACTGTATGACAACCACAGTTCATTATTTGATCAATGGAAAAATTTTACGTAAAAACAGGTCCTTATTATAACCTTAGATATTGATATGGTTTGGCTGTGTCCCCACCCAAATCTCATCTTGAACTGTAGTTCCTATAATCCCCACATGTTATAGGAGGGACGTGGTGGGAAGTAATTGAATCATTGGGGAGTTTCTTCCATGCTATTCTTATAATAGTAAGTTCTTACGAGATCGATGGTGTCAGAGGGCTTCCCCCTTCACTCTGTTCTCATTCTTCTCTCCTGCTGCCATGTGAAAGACATGTTTGCTTCCTTTTCTGACATGTTTGTAAGTTTCCTAAGACTTCCCCACCCGTGCTGCACTGTAAATTAATTAAGCCTCTTTTTTTAATATAAGTTACCTAGTCTCAGTTATGTCTTTATTACCAGTGTAAGAACAGACAAATACAGATGCATAAATTGAATACAGTATAGATGCTGATTCTATCCAAGTTGATTCTACTTAACATTCCACTGGGATTATATGAGGAACTACACAAAATTATTCTTTAGTTTATCTGCAAAAAAATAAAAAATAAAAGAGCAAACTCGAAACTTTGTAAATAAAAAAGAAGAATCAGCAAAATTTGGTGCAGAAAAAGTCAAACAGCAGTGAAAGTGCCTATGCAGTTGAGAAATAGACTCAAAAGCTTGTATTTTTCTTTGTTTCTTTTTTTTGTTCAAATTTTACTTTGGATTCAAACGTGCAGGTTTGTTACATGGGTACAATGCATGATGCATGATGCTAAGGTTTGGGGTATACATAATCCCATCACTCAGGTACTTAGCATAGTACTAGATAGATAGTTTTCCAGCCCACTCTCCTCCTCCTGTCCACCCGATAGTAATCCCCAGTGTCTCTCGTTTTTATCTTTATGCCCATACACACTCAATGTTTAGCTCCCACTTACAAGTGAGAATATGCAGTATTTGGTTTTTGGTTCCTATGTTAATTCACTTAGGATAATGACCTTCAGCTGTGTCCATGTTGCTGCAAACGACATGGTTTTATTCTTTTTTCATGGCTGCATAGTATTCCATGGTGTGTGTATGCCACATTTCCTTTTTCCAATCTGTCATTGATAAGCACCTAGGTTGATTCCTTGTCTTTGCTATCGTGAATAGTGCTGCAATGAACATATGAGTGCATGCGCCATTTCGGTAGAATGACCAAAAGCTTATTATAATCACTTATAAACTACAATTAGAATTTCAAGCAATGGATAAAATAATTAATTCAATAAATTGTGTTTGGGCCAGTTGGCAAGGTATGTTAGAATACTAACATCCAATTAAATGTATTAATATTCAAATGTAATAAAATAAATTTATAAAAATACTAAATAGATCTATCATTTTGAGTTGCTGAAAGTAGTTCATATTATGACAGATTCAGAAATTATAATATAAAATACTGATAGACTTATTACATAAAAACTAACATAAGTCTTTTAATGTAAAATCTCTGTGGGCAAATCAAAAAGCAAGCAATAAAATGAAAGATATATTTAATAATGGAGGGTCAGTTTCAAAGTGTGATACTACATGATACACACAAAATCATGTATGTATTTTAAAATACATATTCTACTAGAAAAAATAGTGAAAGGATTACACAGGTCATTAACTAAAATAACTCAGCTGCTATTAATTTTATTATGGCAATTTCTCATTTACAGAAATTTAGAAAATACAACATTAAGGAACAAAGCTATCTCATATTTAGTTTTTAACTTGGCAAAGATATAACTATGGATTAAAAGCTAGTGCCAGAGATGGTGTAGGGTGATCGACAGCCTCACATAAGTTAGAATTACAGATCAGAGCAAGTTTTGTAGAAGGCAATTTGATGAAATGTAATAAAAGTCTTAAAAATTTATATGCCCTTTAACCTAAAATTTCCACCTCTAAGTTTACTTACTTAAGGGACGAAACAAAATATTTCAAAGGTTTGTAAAACAATTAAGGAGAACATTTCTAAAGTAAATGTAAGTGATGGATAAGAGAAATACATTAAAGAATATAAAAGACTACTAGGAGCTTTAAAACATGATAGTGTAAAATACTTTTTTTGGATTAAAATAAATACATTACACATAGTTATTTGAGAAAAGAAAAATTTAAAGTTATATTATGATCTCATATGTATATGCATAAAAATATGAAGAAATACATATGTATATATATATATAATTAATGTATGGATGCATGGTGGTTGGATTAGGCTGAACATATCTTTGCTTTTTATGTTGTTCTTGCTTATTTTTTTTAATGTTTTCTCCAAACCTTAATTATAAAATACAGTTAGTGGAAACAAAGTTTACAATAGCCAATAACCACTTCAGGAAGATTGAGAGCTATCATCTAAACAAAGCCTACACACTAAGAATTGTGCTCTTTTGTCGCATATTTATATTATTCAATGCGAACACCCATAAGTGTCATCTCACAGTGATATGCTGAGGCCTGATTTAACTGGATAAGATGGACAAAAAGCACCATTAAATTTATCTGTGTTCAAAATCCCGATGTTCATCAACATTTAATAGCCTGAGAATTTTACTATACATGCTGAGTACCACAGAAACAAGCATGGGAACTAAACTCCACGTACAAAGTCATTGTGATAGCATCCACATTGATCCAGGAAGATACACTTTTACTAGTTGTGATGACAGCATCCATACATTTCCTGCTAGTATCTGGTGAGGAGATTTTCTAAACTTCCCTTCACTATCTTATACCTGTGGTCTTCGGTGTGAATCCGAGTCCCATTCTACCTTTATGATACATTGTGAAATCAATATAAACCAAGCAGAACATCATTCTTGGAAAGCAAAAGTATCAGTCAGAGCTCCAAATTTGAAGTTCTCTGACATTTCTGCCTTTGTAGTTTCTGTTTAAAAATTCCCTCTGCTATAATTTTTCTTTATTCTCTGAGTCTGTGATTAATCCTTCTGGCCACCAAGGACAGGATGAATGTCAGAGTAGACAATGACAGGTAATTGGAGCAGAAAGAGAAAGAAACTAAAGGCACATCATTTTATTTGTAATTTAATGTCCTGGCTGTAAGACACTGAGTGGAAGTCTTCCAGGTAAAGGATGAAATGAGTAAGGAAAATCACCAGATTACAATAGTCTTCCTTAACTGGTGGGGCTTCTTCATGAACCTCACACACCACGCTAGCAGCAAAAATCCAGAAGAAATCCAGAGAAAATGTGTCTTCAGAACAGAGGGCACACACAATTTTATAAGAAAGTATAGCGACAACAAACTGCACTATGAGTTGGAAGTTGTTATCCCCGCAAATTCCTCTCCTACGTTTCCACACAGTATTTTCCAGCATATAGTCAAATACCGCATTTCAAGTACAGGTATTGATCAACTTACGACCTATGCAACTTACGGCCATTCGACTTTACGACCACAATAGCTAGCCACGGCTGCTGCTGGCAGCGCAAACGTTGCCCAGCTGGGCGTACGACAGTGCGGACCAGCTTCCGGCAGCACTACCATCTCCGCGTGCATATAGCCTACTCAACTTACAACCAAATCGTGTTACGACCGGTCTGTCAAAAACCAAACGTGGTCGTAAGTCGAGCACTAGCTGTAGTTATAATTAGCAGAATATGGTATCACTATGAAATCTGTGCATAGACATTGACATTTTAAAAATTAGGAGAAATATAAGAAGCAATTTTAAAGGCAAGTATACATCAGGAGAATAATTATTCCAGGACACAAAAGGGTTCAAGTAGTTCTCCATTGTGCTAGGAAAAAAATAATGAAAACATATTTTCTAAGAAAGGGAGACAACACGAAAAATACGAAGATAGGTGAAGAAAAATGAGCATATGTGATGCATATATTATTTCTAATAGTGAAATTAAATAAATGGAAAATAGGAACAGAAACATCTGAATTATGACAGCACCTATATGATAATAATTAGCATCCAGAGATCACAGGAGAACATGGTTTTATAGTAATAACTAGTAACGAAAAATAATGTATAAGAGTTTTGTATCCAACCAAAATATGCTTCAGTTGCAAACACAATCTAGCAAGGTAAAACAGGAAGGATTTAGGAAATATGCCTTAGGCTTGTCTTTTTTTTTGAATTAAAACAAAAAAACATTTTAAACTATGAGATGAAATCTAAACAACCAAAAAGATGGATTAAAAATAAGGAACTCAGAAATATTAAAGTCATGGTAAAAGAACAAGCAGCACACAGTAATGAATTTACATATTCAACTAAAATTAACCTATTCCTCAAACATGGGTAGAAAACCAAATATAAAGTCTATAAATCCTGATTGTGTTAAAGTAATAATATTAACCAAAAACTGGTAGAGGAGAGAAGAACATCAGGGATAGTTTAAAAGTATTTAATTCTTTGTTAAAATTGGGTCAATAAATCTGTTAACATTAAGACAGAAAAAAATGCCGGGCACGGTGACTCATGCCTGTAATCCCAGCACTTTGGGAGGCCAAGGTGGGCAGATCACGAGGTCAGGAGTTCGAGACCAGCCTGACCAACATCGTGAAACTCTGTCTATACTAAAAATACAAAAAAATTAGCAGGGTGTGGTGTTACCCACCTGTAATCCCAGGTAATCAGGAGGCTGACGCAGGAGAATCGCTTGAACCTGGGAAGCGGAGGTTGCAGTGAGCCAAGATCATGCCATTGCACTTCAGCCTGGGTGACAGAGCAAGACTTTGTCTCAAAAAAAAAAAAAAAGAAGACGAAGATAGGAAAAAAATAGAATGATCTTGAATTCTACATTTTACTTAAAACTTTTCATTTTTAATTTAAAAAAATGAATTTAGGAACAAATGTTCTTGTGGAAAATCGTTTATTTGAATTTCAGCTATCCCTTCAGCTTCATTTTAATTCCTTATTTTTTGGAATTTCGATTTTACTTTTATATAAAACTGCATGTGCATAATATTTAAAATTTTCTCTACAAGTTCTGTAACAAAAAATATCATTTCCCTGTCCCAGCCAGCTCTGCTTCTTCCCTCCACACCCTAGAATTTACTACTGTCAACTTTCCTTTATACCTCTTTTTAATTTCCATAGTTTCTGTAACAAATTCATTTTTCAGCTCACATATTGTCTTTTGTTCACCTAATATAAATAAGGAGAATTTAACTTTCTATACTCACCCTCCACACATAAATTCTCAACCTCCAGCTTCTCAATATGCCACAATGTAGTTAACTTTTCATTTAATCATTATACAAATTGAACTTATTAGAAATGTTAATTAAATCTGATCCAAGTATTCATGTCCTCACATATTCTTTCCTCTTTATGCTCCCTTGTGAACTTAGCACTGATAAATCTCAGGTTCACTTCTTTTCTAGACATATTCTACAACTGTCTCAGATTTTCCTTTATAAAAATTCCGGAAATTCCCTCTCCATCCTTATATTCTGAAAGCCATACTTCTAAGTTATATACCTTCCCACTTCTTGATTCTTTCTTTTCTGCAAAATAATTCCTCATTAGCTTCTGGATAATGGGTGCATGAAAGAAAATTTAAGACATTTCTCATATTACTATTCAGTGATCATTCTAGTAAGTACATGATTCCAGGAGACAAATCCTTTCACTTTCAATCGATTGTTTCAATAATTTCTAAACTTTAGTGTTGTTATTGAGAATTATTATGCCATTTTCATAATTGATCTTTTAGTTTCACCATTTTCAAATTTGTAAGGATGAGAGGCTTTCATGTTTCTGTGTTTCTGTGTGTGTGTGTGTGTGTGTATAATTCTATTTCTTGCACTTATGCTAGGTGCTTTTTTATTTTGCAAGAGACTCAGCTTTAAGCTTTATAAATGCTGAAGATGGAATCCCTTGAATATCTGCTTTCTAAAATCCAAAATTTATTGATACCTTTATCTCCTGTTGTTTTGCCTCCACTTTCTCTTTCTGCTTCAAAGTTTATGACCATTTTTGTTCATATGCTGTTGTTTTAGTAATCTTTTAAGAGTCAACAAAGTTTAAAATACTTAATCTGCTGTATTTGGTGGCCATTTATATATTCTTTTTAGTTAAGTTTAATCAACATTTATGGAAATGTCATGTTTATGATTTTATTTTTAAATTCCTTCTCTCGTTCCTTTCTTTATCTTTTCTCTATCTTTATATGTAAATAGCAGTGCCTCCAATGATGTTCCTCAAATGTTGCAAGTGGATATTTCTGTAGGATAACATTTTATGTGGTTTGCTTTTTGACTTATATACTTTGTATTGCTTCAGATTTTTAATATCTACAAATCGTTTTTCCAATAAGAATAGCATTTAAAAAATCTCCTCCATATTAGAAAAGCATAAATTCGTAAGTTTTGAACAATTCAAACAAATCGTCCAGTTGACAAGAAAAAGACAATTTGTTCACGTTGTTGTCTTCTATTTGGTATCCAAGTTGTCTTCACTTCAACAAATAAACTGACTTTTAGAGGCCCTATAAAAAAAAAAGTCTAATTATATTATAAAATGTATGACTTTAGCGGCTGTTAATAAGTTTCAGGTAAAATAAATTGTATTGTAAACTTTAAACATTAAAAACAATTATCTATCTACTTACCTACCTACCTGAAATGAGGAGAAAAGCAGTATGCCTTTTATACTTCTTTATTTTGAATGTTGAGAAGGACTAGAGTGGGGAGGAATTCCCTTCCTCCACAGGGCTAGGATTTCCTTCTTCCAGCTGGGATAAAAATTTCCTCCTACCAGCTGGGATAAGGTTTGAATCTTGCGCTCTGTGACGCTCTTCCCTGGAGAGTAACACTTCATTGTGAGGGAGGCTCTGGGCATAATTGCACAACAGCTTATTCTTCTACACCCTTGCCAGGGCCATGAGAGGAGTTTTCTTTACTATTCTGGAGAAGCTGGTAGAGTTCTTGGAAGGAAAATCCACAAATGTCTGGAGCTTCTCTGAAGACTGCAGCCCCCAGAAGTTTCTCACTCTCATTGTCTTTCACACTCAGCCTCCAGCAATTCATCAAAATTACCATTTAAAAGTTCTTACCATTGTATGGCTTGAGCAGCTTCGTCTGGGACACCTTCTGCTCCAGGTAAGTGGATCTTTGCACTGTCTTCTGGATGCTTTCATCTTTCCAGATATGGAGATGACAGTTTGCCTCCTGACCTCGGTTCTCTGGTGAGCAGTCTCATCTAAGGTTTAAGAAAAACCTTAAGATGAGAGCAGTAAATACCAAGATCTTCATGTCATCCTTGCAGTAGCCCATTACGTACCAAAATGATATGAATACTAATGTTTCTTTTTATCTACTTTTTGAAGGCCAATGTTGAAATTTTCTGTTTTTACGTTTTTTGTATTTAATCTTTAATAGAGCGATACTCCAAACTTGATGAAAAAAAAAACCTAAAAAGCCTGTTTCCTGTCATATCTGGTAGATACAGGTCGGCCTGTTGTTTTGGTTTTTTTGATCAAGTAGATTGGGTTGAAATTATTCAGAAAAAAATTTCTTAATAGAAGGGAAGACTTGAATTAAAATGTACATATATTTGCACATACAAAGCTAACCAAACAAATTCCTGTCACAACAATTTAGTCAGCTCATAGAATATTTAAACTCATGGATCCATAAGTTTGTGACACAAACAAATGTTAACTAAGCGCTTTTTACACTGCATAAAGTCTAGGTTCAAGCAAAGCCAAACTTGACCACCTGCATGTTCATTATGGATAAATGTATCTCTCTTCATATTTTAGTTAAGTCTGCATTTCATCTTAACAGTTTTTGTTTGTCCACTTTTATTCATTTAACTGTATGCCTTCAGTCTTTATGCCAATAGCCTGCTACAAATAGGAAGGTACTGATATGGTTGGGCTCTGTGTCGCCACCTAAATCTCATCTTGAATTGTAAGCCCCATGTGTTGAGGGAGAAAGGTGATTAGATGATAGGGTAGTTTCCCCTGGCTGTTCTCGTGATAGTGAGTGAATTCTCATGAGATCTGATGGTTTTAAAAGTGGCAGGTTTTTTTTTTCCCTGTGCTCTCGCTTCTGCCTTGTGAAGAAGGTACTTGCTTCCCCTTCACCGTCCACCATAATTGTAAGTTTCCTGAGGTCTCCTCAGCCATGTGAAACAGTCAGTTCAATCTCTCTTGGGTATTTCTTTACAGCACTGTGAAAATGGACTAATACAGGTACTAACTCATCCAAGTAGCCTATAGATTAAATCTAAAATTATGTGGGAAAAATAAGTGATATGAAATTATTCGACCATCCAAATTTCAGCCTTTATGAAGGTAAAATATAAGTTTAATGAGAATTTTCAATATAGGTCATATTAAAATAATTTATATTTTTAATGGATCTGTCTTAAAAATCAAAGGAATTTAATTCACTCATTTTTTAATAAAAACAGTATTTAATATTTGCAAAAAATATTCTAGGTATTCTTGGAGTTATAAAAAGATTAGGCAAAAATCCTGCTGGAGAGCTTGCATGCAAATAACTATAATGCAGAGTAA